AAAAAAAAAAAAAAAAAAAAAAAAAAAAAAAAAAAAAAAAAAAAAAGTATTTCACTCCACTTTCTAATAAGGTTGAACAATTCCAAAATATCACATTTCAATTTCCATTTAGCCTATGGATCAGTTTAACCATCTGTAAAGTTACAAAAGCATGATACAGAACTCAGAAGAGAGCTGTGAAGCTCAGCATGTTTAATGTGTTTTTAAAAATTGTGGTCTCTGACAGAATGCAAAATCTCTTTTTCTTGGAATTAAATTAATTAGAATTTCTATTCTTAAATAAGCTGTATAAAGTGTATCCAGGTTGGAGTACAACCATTACTGTAATAAGAAAACCTCACAATCCAGCGTGTAACATAATTCACCAAACTTAAGAGATCCAGTAGGAAGTGGCAAAAAATGACAAAAACGGAAAACCCCAATCTGAAATGTATTTTGGGATGGATATAGAAATACAAAAGAAAGACACATCAATTAAATAAGAGTTTGCTGAAATTACATTTAAATTCTTTTCCTCTTGGGTAATGATAGTTTCAACTATTAAAACTGAATGGTCCAATGGGGGTGGGGGGGGGGGGGAACAGCCATAGGAGACAACAGCCTACCTATGATTCCCACAGTACAGATCCTGTACGAAGTCTTTAATGAGGAAAGTCTTTGATAAAGAAAGTAAGGAGCAGGACATGCCAAAAAGAGACAAACCCACCAACATTTGGAAGGTGAGGACCTATGAAACTTTCTGGTGTAACCTCATACTAGGAAAAACACCAAACAAAAACAAAACCAGAAAGCAACTGTACTCAGGATTTTTAAAAAAGAGTAACCACAAAAATCTGGTAAGCTTATTTATTGCAATATTTCTTAACTGTTACCACAAGTAGTACTAGTTTAGCTATATATATTTTGCAAAAGAGCACAAACAAAAACTTTGTATCTGTACCACTTACTTTTGTGGCTATTTTATCAACCAGTATTTGAAGTCCCATTCAATTAGTTCCTAAGAAATTAAAAACAAAAATACATTAGCAAAAAACAAAAAACCCCACCAAAATACAAAACAAAACAAAAAAACAAAAAATCACCAACCCTACACATTTAAAATACAATACTTTTGCTTTCTCACTATTAGTTTTCACTAAGAAAATTAATCCATTTTTTTAAAAATCCAAATCCTAAAATGATGGGCTAGAAGAGATCCAGTGCAGAATGGTCCACTGTCCTACACCAATATGAGATGTAGCCAGTCAACTCAAAAATATCTAATTTCAATGTCTCAACCTTCCACAGCCAATTATTCTAGTCACTTGACCTATCTGCAATATTATAGCATTTTGGCTGTTTTAATCTGATTAGAAAGACAGAAATAAGAACCAGCAACATGTGACCAACCAGCACTCCAGACTACCAGTGGCTCATGAGACACAGCTTAAGAACCATTAGTCCAACAGCGGATCTCAACCTTTGGGGTCCCGACCCCATTTTAATGGGATCATCAGGGCTGGCATTAGACTTGTTCAGGCCCAGGACTGAAGCCTGAGCCCAACCATCCAGGGCTGAAGCTGAAGCCTGAGCCCCACTGCCCGGGACTGAAGCCGAAGGCCCACTGCCCGGGGCTCAGGCTTCGGCTTGATGGCGGGGCTCAGGATACAGCCCCCCACACCTGGGGCTGAAGCCCTCAGGCTTGGGCTCAGGCTTCGATCCCCCTTCTCGGGGTTATGTAGTAATCTTTGTTGTCAGAAGTGGTCGCAGTGCAATGAAGTTTGAGAACCCAACATAAATTTTCCCTTTGATAATTTTAAACTAACTCCCTAGGAGATAGCTCTTTCCCCAGCTGTATGAAGTATTTGTACGCAATTATAGTTTCCACCATTTGAGCCAGTCTACATTATAATTACAAATGAGTCAGGGGACCTATTTACAACTTGGTTCCATTTTAGAACATAGATGGAATTTTAACCAAGTTCCATAATCAGGACACGTCCAAAAATTTGGCCCAGTTACAGAACTTAGTTAAGAGCCTGTCTACTCTACTAAATAGAACTGTGTTGTAACTAGGTCTACTCTGATTTGGTTGTAACTGAACTGGATAGGCCCTTTGTCATCCTCTCTCTAAACTTTTCATATTAAGTGTCAAATTTTGTAAGGTGCTTAGCAACCTCATCCTTGCACCCCCCCCCCACCCCCGCCGCCGCCCCCCCCCCCCCCCCCCCCCCCCCGAGGCCCCCCCCCGTGGCAGCTCCCTCCCCCGCCCTGAGGCGCACCCCCCCCCCGGGGCAGCTCCCGCTCCCCGGGGAGCCGTGCGGCAGTTCCCCACCCCAGCTCACCTCTGCTCCGCCTCCTCCCCTGAGCACACCGCCCCCACTCTAATTCTCTTCCCCTCCCAGGCTTGCGGCGCCAAACAGCTGATTGGCACTGCAAGCCTGGGAGGCGGGAGAAGTGGAGCGGCGACCACGCACTTGGGGAGGGGGCGTAGCAGAGATGAGCTGGGGTGGGGAGCTGCTGCGGGGGGTACCTCATCGAAGGGGGGAGCTGCCGCAGGGCTCCCCACCCCAGCTCACCTCTGCTATGCCCCCTCCCCGAGCACGCCGCCCCCGCCGGCAATGACAATAATTGCATGGAGCGGCCACTGCGCTGGGAGAGGGAGTCTGAGCCGCACGTGTCAGCACGCCGCCGGCAGCCCAGCCCAGGAACACTGTAAAAAAAAACTGGGGGCACTGCTTTTTGGCGCCCCCAAATCTTGGCGCCCTAAGCAACTGCCTAGTTTGCCTTAATGGTAGCACCGGCCCTGCCCTCATCGCTCTTTGAAATCACTAGATTCCCAGATATCCTCTCTGTTGTAGTGGTTAACATTAGAGGGTTGCACACTTTGGGTACGTCTACACTACCCGCCAGATAGGCGGGTAGCAATCGATCTATCAGGGATCGATTTATCGCATTTAGTGTAGACACAATAAATGGATCCCCGATCGCTCGCCCGTCGACTGCTGAACTCCAGCAGTGCGAGAGGCGGAAGCAAAGTCGACGGGGGAGCTACGGCCATCGATCCAGCGCCGCGAGGACGCGAAGTAAGTAATTCTAATTTAATCTAAGATACGTCGACTTCAGCTACGCTATTCTCGTAGCTGAAGTTGCATATCTTAGATCGATTCCCTCCCCTCCCCCCCAAGTGTAGACCAGGCCTTTGTTCTTTTTATAGGCTGAGTGCATTACACCCACCAGAGGCTCTTACATTCCTCCCTTCCCCTCCACAAGCTCCCTGTGTTCCACCATCCTATTCCCGCTATTTCAGGGACTCCCTGCAACCCCATCCCTCCTCTCATGCCAGTAACTCCATGTGTCCCCCATGTCTACCTTTCAATTTTTCCAATTTTCACCAAAATCCATAAGGTTCTGGCCATTGATGCTTAACCCATTCCCTGAAATTTTGGAATTGATCGGACGTAGCATTCAAAAGTTATTGGATTACAAACAAACGCCATCAAACTGAGTGTAAGGCCTTCCTTTGCTTGATCATTTAAGCCACTTCTGGCACTCAGGTGTGTGTGGTTGGCAATAAGCATTTAATGCAACTTGCTTGATGCAGTGATCAAAAAATCCACTCGCTTGTAGTCTTATCAGTTTTCACTGCTACTGCTCTAAACACTGTGGGCAGTAGTGAAAGTGGGAAGAATCACCATAAATATTCTGCTGCTGCTTAAGAATGCTTTGAGCAGAAGCTATCCACAGCATAGCAGCCTTCAAAAAGAGAGGCCAAGAAAGGAATAGAGAAAGAGGAACCCACTGTGAGCAATCAGGTTGAATGAATGATAGAATGCAGATACACACATATGTGATGCCCATCACATCAGTGAGGAAACTTGGGGAGACAACGAGTAACAGGCACACTTTCCACCGACTCTCACAAGAGTGAGGAGGCTCTGCAAGTGGAGTTGGGAAATTGAGAGAATGCTTCCTCTGTCACCCAGCAACAGAGGGAGATAAATACAGACACACACTAGACAGAGTCTACTATGAAAAATTGAACCTGCAAGCAGTCGGGGCGATATCCTCTTCTTTCCACTCACAGAGGAAAATATTAGAGAATACTGCCTTTTCACCTGGGCTTTGTCCCTGTATAATGGGGCCCCTATTCCTGACTCTGGATAGTAGGTTTAATCCTACAGCTTTTAGGTATCTGGTGAAATTTCCACATCTTAGACTATCTGTGACTGGATAGGAATGAGTAGGCAGACAAATAAACTGAAGGGATAAGACAGAATAGGGAACTGCGATATAGACAAGGAAATAAGAGGAAAGAGAAAAAGAGAGGAAGTAGTGAATACACTGCAGAAAAAACCAGAAAAGAGGATGAGACACTTAAGACAACTCAAGAAAAACACACTATGATCTACTATAGGGAAGAAGAGGGGAAAAAAATGAAATGAAGTCAGGATGAGAAAGATGCAACATCAAAAGCAAGAGAAGTGTTGTAAGTTATATTTTTACAAAATCATTAAATAGAAAGTTCACTTGCAACATGGCACCACTGAATACAATACACACAACTGTTTTATTCCTTTAAACAAACAGTTACAGCCTGAGGCAGAGACAAAGAAGAATTTGCCATTTAAAGGGACTGAATTTGAAGGGAGCATTACCCCAATATCTTTCCTATAGTCACTGACAGAATTAATGATTAAATAAATTCTGTCATCTTTTTATTTCCTCCACCAGTTTCATTAGTGGATTCATGTCTCATTTTCAAATAACAATTGCTTGTATATTGTAGTATTCTTGTCCTTGAAAATTCTCTGTTGCACAAGCTAAAGTCCTATCAGCATTTATAAAGTGCTTATCAGTGTGGTATATACTGGCTGTACATGTATTAAAAAAAATGTCAAGAATCATCAGTAAAAAAAAAAAGATGCCAAGAATCATCATTAAAATCTACTCATGGTTGAGAATGTTATGAAGTAAATTGATTTAATTGGGCTGATAAAGATACACAAAGCAGTGTTAGACACTTCATGAAAATTTCAAAACGGAACTATTTTAAATTTTCATCACAAAAGCTACTTAATTTATTCCAACAATTTATATATACAATCATAAAATTAAACAGCATAATTTATTTTGAGTTACAAAGGAAATGAAAAAAAAACTTCTATTGACTTCAGAGGAAGTAAAATTGAGTCTTTATTCTCCTTTGTAATTGAAATATTTTATATTTATATTGAAGTTTTCCTTTAAAGGAAATATTCTGTTCCAAGTAGCTCCAACTGTAGAAGAGGCCACAGGTCTATGTATCTAGGTATTTCTAATGCACCAATTACTGTGATATCTGAATGATAGGTAAGATAAAGTTTACAGAATAGTGACTAACTGAAAGTCTAAACTTCCTTTACCTTTTGCTGATTCAGCATAAAAAAGTAATTCTATGTAGCCCAACATCCCAGTCAATTTTAAGTGTAATGCCTTTATAAGGTTTAGCACAAAAACTGTGCTGTATGAGCATTATTAAGGAAAAAACAAATTTGGATTAAAAGTTAATAGGCTTTAATAGTTTTATTACAAAAGAAAAATGGTCTTCCTAAGGGTTATTTAAAGCATTCATGTGCTGAAGCGATGTGCACAAATATACATTTGTAAATAAATAGCTGAAGACTAAAATTTTCAAATAAGAGCTAACTTTAAGTTCCTATGTGTGGGATTTTCTAATGACTCAAGGTGGTCAATCTATTTTGTTTATCAAAAAGAAGGTTAAGGGGTGACTTGATCATAGTCTAAGTATCTCCATGGGGAACAGAAATTTGATAATAGATGGCTCTCAAATTTAGCAGAAAAAGATACATCAAAATCCAATGGCTGGAAGTTGAAGCTAGACAAATTCAAACTAGAAATAAGGCTTTTTTTTTTTTTAAACCATAAGGGTAATTAACCATTAGAACAACTTACCAAGGGTTGTGGTGCATTCTCCATCACTGCTCATTTTTAAATGTAGATTGTATGTTATCATAAAAGCTATTTTCTAGTTCAACCACAGCTATTGGACTTGGAGCATGAATTAATTCAAGGAAGTCCTTTGATCTGTGTGATAAAGGTGTTCACACTAGATGATCACCATGTTCCCTTCTGGCCTTAAATCTATGAATGAACAAAGATTTAAGAAGATGAAATGAGATTTTCAAAAATGCACAAGAACATAGGCACTTTAGAAAATTCTTAACTAGCTAAATACAGACAGGCTCCTATTTTTAAAAATTTAGCCAAAAACTTCATTTATATGAAGGCAGATCATACATTTTTTTGGTCTCCTGCACAAATATCTGTTGATATTTGGAAAGTTTCCAATCAACAGATATTGGCTTGGCCTATTCTGAATCCTGCTTTAACAACACACGCCAATCATGAAATTCTCCAAATCAGTGGGGCTACTCACATTAGTAAGGATTTGCTGAATCAGACCCTAAGATTGTAATACACCTCTACCTCAATATAACGCTGTCCTCGGGAGCCAAAAAAAAATCTTACTGCGTTAAAGGTGAAACCACGCTATATCGAACTTGCTTTGATCCACCGGAGTGCGCAGCCCCCCCCCGGAGCACTGCTTTACCGCGTTATATCCGAATTCGTGTTATATCCGGTCGCGTTATATCGGGGTAGAGGTGTACTATAATCAGAATGAACTGTCCTCTCAGTATAATAAAATTTCTCACAAAGTTGGATACTGTATATTTTGTCTTGTATCCAAACATGTGATAGATATTGACTGTGCTGCATTTACTAATAGAGAACTTTGACCTCCATAATTTTTCTAATACAGTATACTCCTGGGTTTCTGAAACCTTATTATCCGAATCCCATTATTTCTGGATAACACAGAGGTTCAGATAATAGAGCAGAGACTCCCTGCCAGGGAAGGCCATCCTGCTACTGAATGGCTCCTGTGACAGTGCAGGGAGCGCTCCACAGCTCCACTGTCCATGGGAATGAGTGAGCGGGGCCATGACAGCGGAGCTGAAGAGGACTCCCTGAACTGCCTCTGGGCCGGTGATACCAGATCTCTGCAGGTGCAAGGTGTAGAGAAGGCTACTGTTCTGACCAGGGATCTCTGCTCTGCCCCACCAGGACCGCAGCCTCCCCCTGCCCCTTGCGCGTGCAGTAAGGGAGGGTAGGAGCATGTCACATGTATAGAGATGATGTTTGCTTATTTCCTATAGTAATGTGTTGTAATGTAAATAGGCCCAAAAATCTATTTCCTAAAAACAGGTTTGACAATAATCAAGAGAGGCATGGTAAAGTATGAGTAAAGTGAAGTGAGACAATTCAGAGATAAGTTAAGTCATAACCCCAGTTCATGTAAACATGTTTTGGAACTAATTGGTTTTTACAAATGTTTTAAATAAAATGTTAATGTTTTGGAAAATGCTACCTATAATGCTAGTTACTGGTCTGGCATTGAGGCAAATGTTAAGATGATGCTTAATGTTAAACAGCCAATGAGAAAGTAGAAAATATTTAATTACGGTTATGGAAATAAATATATGGTAAAAGGAGGATTTAATGTTCATTAATTAAGTGGCATTATTATAGTTGATTATAAAAAGGGTAGTAGGTTGATTTTAGATAGGCACGCCGATCCCCCATCAAGGTACCACTAAAGAATTATATCCGCACTTCTCATTCAGAGGCTGAACAGATATGCATGCATCTTTTCACCTTAGAATGCGAGTATAAATGCAGTGCATGATCATATTGTAATGCCTGTTTGCTTAAACTATTTTATATTAAATAAAATCCTTAATTTTATCATTCACTGTGTCATTCACAGTCCTCCACTAAATTAAATGATCTGAAACTACCCTGGAGGCGCAAACCTTAAGGAATTCAGTTTGGTTTTATTCCTTATGTTTAAACTAGTAACTGGAAACACATAAATCAAAGGTTACAAGAGGCAATGCAGGGAGCCCTCTGCAGCCCCACTGTTATGGGAGCGAGCAGGGCTGTGACAGCAGAGCTGAGGAGGGCTCCCTGCGCTGCTGCTCCTGCCCTCTCAATTATATGAACTCCCAATTATCCAAATAAAATCCATGTCCCCCATGCTATTCGGATAATTGGGGGTATATTCTACTGTGCTACTTAGGCCTGGTCTACTCCTAAAACTGAGATCAACCTAACTACATTGCTCAAGGCTGTGAAAAATTTCACACCGTCTAGGATGTAGTTAGGTGGACCAAACTGCCATTGTAGATGCAGCTAGGTCGACAGAAAAAAATCTTCCATTGACCTACTTACAGCCTCTTGGAGAGGTGCATTACCTACTTTAATGGAAAAACTCCCATCAATGTAGAAAGCATCTACATTACCATGCTACAGTAGTGAAGACACACCCTTATTTATTTACTGTATAAGTTGATATTGCCTCTGGGTCAGAGGTGATTGCTTTTACTGAAGTGTTCTCTCTGCTAATGGTGTTTCACCATATGTGGGAGACAAATTCTATTAATACTTTATAACACAAGCTGCCCCTTTGTGGCTTGCTGCCAAGAATCAGAGCAAGCAGATTATCACAGCAATAGGTCTTGCTTTGTGCTAGTGCAACAGACCTAATAAAAATGGTTTCCTTCTCCACAAAATAGAGTAGGATTATGTGGCTCACTTGAAAGTTTTAGGTTTTTGCTTAATTTTTATTCCAGCTTTTCCTCTTCTTAGTAACATGAATAAGATGGAGGGGTTGAGATACATGAGTGACAGCCATCATTAACTTTTGCAATAGTAATATTTTCTCTATGGGTTTCTTGTTGAAGGACAGCACCTCAGGAGGAACCCCAGAATTCTCCTTTTATGGCACAAGGTGGGGAGTTACCTTCTCACCAAAGTGATGGCACTTGGCATTTTGCACCCTCTCCTTCTTTTGTATTAGTCTTTAGCTGGTAGGTTTAATCCTCTACCTATTATGTGCATTGGTAAAAAATTTAAATATGAGTACTATATGTTTGTAAGTAGGTGGTTGGGAAAAAGAGATTGGATAAATTTTGAAGCGAGAAGTATGGTGCTGAAGGAAAGAGATTTGGAAATAAGTAGAAGAAAGGAGAGGGGAAATCGCTACCTCCTCCCCTGCATAAGAACATTGGGAAGGAGATGAGGGAGTAGAAGAGAGAAGAAAGAGGAAACAAACAATGAAAATAATTCATGGAAAGATACATCATGATTAAGGATATGATTTTTGGCACGGGTATTTTTATTAAATAGACAGGACATAGGCAACAAGTCAATAAATCACAAATGTACACAGGGCAGCACTAGGAGCTAGCAAATGGGGCAACTGCAAAGCTAAGTTATGGGCAGCGGGGCTTGGGCTTTGGCTTCAGCCCAAGCCCCACCTGGTGGGGCTGAAGCCTGAGCTGAAGAAGTGGACATCTGTTAAAGTCACGGAATCCGTGATCTCCCTGACCAAATCATATCCTTGATCATAATCTAATACAGGAAAGAAAGGGAAAGAATGGAGTGGAGGTAGAAAGCTAAAAATACAGAAAAAGGGAGAAAAATTACATTTTTAAAGATGTATTAAAGAGAAAACTGATTGACAATGTTATAATTAAATACAGTAAACAATATAAAATTGTTTTATTCCTACATCTTACAGGAGTTATGTTCTGGGGTGAGTGGCTTGGGTGTATGGCAGCACATTTATTTTTTCACCTGGTTATCAAGCATTGGGTATATTTTTTAATTCCTGATGTTTATTCTGGTAAACAGGCAGCCCTATGTCTTTTGACAACTACAAGCAGTGTGACAGAGGAAAAATAAATTAAGCTACTTCACCTATTCCATGGAGACTAAACCTTCCATCATAGTTATGATTTTTCCACCTTCTTGTACAAAAACCAAACAGTTTTGCCCACAATATCTGAGATTGCATTCACTGCTCTCTAATCCAGAACCTGAATGGAGGCATTACCCCAGATTTTTGAGTCATTCTCATCCTGGTACCCTTTCTCAAGTTCTGTGGCCGCTGAAAATATCAGTGGGAAGGCAGTGCTGCTGTACTAGAAGGATCTCCCCATCAAACTCTCTGCACTTCCTTGCTTGTAGAATAATGGGTAGATATTACATTTGAACAAATTCATGACACTTCAGACCCTCATACCTGATGCAAACTCTCCATCATGAACTTAAAGTTCCTTGAATGTAGTTTTCTTTGCAGTTCTCTCCAACCTAGAGTGAATGATTGGGTATGTCAATTTGGGAAACCCACACACAATATGATTCACTGGCAAAGAACTTTGTTAACTCCGAGGTAAGGTTGCCCGGTGGTATATGGTGCCCTTGCAAAACATCCAGTTCAGCAAAACTCAAAACTTCTGAAAATCAGGAAATACACATACCCACACAACCTTAACTCGGCCACCTATGGAGCTGGCAATAGACACTTGGAATTAGCTGCACGCACTGCAGCTGCATTCACTGATAGGTGTAACTGTATTGAATAGGTTTCAGAGTGGTAGCCGTGTTAGTCTGTATCAGCAAAAAGAACGAGTATTTATGGCACCTTAGAGACTAACAAATTTATTTGAGCATAAGCTTTCGTGGGCTAAAACCCACTTCATTGGATGCATGCAGTGGAAAATACAGTAGGAAGATATATATACACACAGAGACCATAAAAAAATGGGTGTTGCCATACCAACTGTAACGAGAGTAATTAATTAAGGTGAGCTATTATCAGCAGGAGAAAAAAAACTTTTGTAGTGATAATCAGGATGGCCCATTTCCAACAGTTGACAAGGTCTTTAGACTCCCAGTCTTTAGTCTCTAAGGTGCCACACGTACTCCTCGTTCTTTGTATTGGATAGTGGAGAAATTAGATGGAGCAGCTTGGAAGAGTTGTGACTGTGATATGAGGTGACCTGAGGAGGATGCAACCCTCTGTGGATGCGTGTGATCAAAGGAAACAGGTACACAAGTACCTTGAAATATCCAGTATATCTCTCATTTCAGCACTACTGTGTGTAGCCTGTCTCAGTAGCAGGCACAGGGGTCTTCTGGCCATGGGACTGTCAGCAGTTGGGTGGGAGATGAGCATGGTCTGTGAGTTTAACGAAAGGTAAGTGTAAGTATGGTGTTAGATGGTATTGTGTGCATAAGGGTGAAGAGGTCATAAAATTTTGCCGATGTGTTCTTTCTGTCTATGCTACAGTGAGCGCTGCAGCTGTGCCACTGTAATCTTGTAGTATAGACACTTACTATACAGATGGAAGGGATTTTTCCATTGATGTAGGTAATCCACCTCTATGAGCAGCAGTAGCTGCATCTACAACACGGGTTGCGCCAACCTAACCACAGCGCTCAGGGAGTGAAATTTTTCAAAGCCCCGAGCATTGTAGCTAGGTCAATTTAAATGTACACCAGGCCTAAGTGTTTGAGTGTATGACAGATATAGGCAGTTCCTTTTCAATGCAGTACAAAGGAAGCATGGATATATATTATGGGTATTGGGACATCATTCTCAGAGGACACAATTAAGGCTGAGTATTTCCTGGTTTTAGAAATCTGAGTTTGAAATACCTTAATTCATTCCTAGTTTTCACAAGTCTGAATTTTACTGAACTCAGCATTCTGGAAGAACATGATATACCTTAACTCTGTATTAAGTAAGTTTATTTATCAGTGAATTTTATAGGTTTTTTTTTTTAAAATATAATCAGAAAGGTTGTTGGTAGGTGTTAGTAGTCATTTAGGCAGTTCTAATTAACATAGATGTGCAGTTGAGACACTGCTGTGGCCAGGCAACAATAATAATACCTGAGAGACAAAGCGGGTGAGGTAATATCTTTTATTGGATCAACTTCTGCTGATGAGAGAGACAAGCTTTTGAGCTTATACAGAGTTCTTCTTCATGTCTGGGAAACATACTCAAGGCAAGTCTACACCACAAAATTAAGTTGACCTAAGTTACGTCGACACACAACCACTGCAGTTTTATCGGCTTTACACATACACACTATGGTCCTTGTGTCAGCGATGTGCATCGTCACCAGGAGCGCTTGCACCGATTTAACGGACAGCGTGGGGCATTGTGGGATGGTTCTGAAAGGCAGCAACAGTCAGTCAATGTAAGCAACACATTATCTACACTGAGGGCTAGTCTACACTAGAAGCGGTACAGTGGTGCCGCTGCACCGATGCAGCGGCGCCACTGTACCACACCCGGTGAAAACGCTCTCTGCCAATGGGAGAGAGCTCTCCCGTTGACATAGCTCTGTCTACATCGGCGCCTAGGTCAGTGTAACTTATGTCACTCACAGGGGTGGTTTATTGACATCCCTGCGTGATATAAGTTATACTGACATAACCTGACATAACCTGTAGGCAAGCCCTGACACTGCGTCCACCTAACTACATTGACTTAAGCGCTACGCCTCTCACAGAGGTGGAGTTATTAAGTCAGTGTAGTGGGTGAGTGAGTTGCATCTGTGGGAGCTACATTTTAGTGTAGAGGTGTAATCAGGCGTGGACTCACCCCTGCGGCGCCTTCTGCTGGTCGTACCGGGAATTAGCTCTCTAGCCTCTGGAGCGCCCTCTGCAGGCCTGTGCTCCGCCTGTCGTTGGTCCCGTGTCCCTCCCGGACCCCGGTGCCCTTGGCTTAGGTGCTGCCCCCCCCGGCAGTACCCCACTCTTTCTCTGGGTCTCCCCACCCAGGGAAACCCCCACCTCCTATCCCACTGTCACCTCAGTTACGGCTACTGCCAGTCACCATCTAGCCCCCGCGCCCTGGGGCAGACTGCAGTCTATCAGCCAATCAACACTGGCAACAAGGGGTTTGGACTGGCTGCCTTTACCCACCCTCAGGCTGCCCCTCTGCAACCCCAATACCTATGTGGACCTGGGACCAGGCCCTGCAGCCTGGAGAGTTGCTGGCCTAGGGCTTCCCAGCCCTCCAAGGCCTTTCCCCAGCCCTGCCTTACTCTAGGTCCCCGGGTGAGCTCCCTGCAGCCAGGCCTGTCTCTCTCTCCTGTCAGAGGGAGACTGCTCTGCTCTAACTACCCTGGCCTTCCTATAAGGCTGCAGCCACTTCCCCAATCAGCCGGGGTTTTGCTCCTCTTTACCCAGCCCCAGCCCTCTGCAGGGCTTTTCCAACCCCTTCAGGGCTGGAGCGGGTGTTCACCCCGCTACAAGAGGCTTACAGAGTTAGGTCAGCATAAGATGCCGTATGTTGACCTAACTCAGGAATATAGACCCGACCTCAGAGTGTCACACCTAAACTACAAGGTGGAACATCTTATTTAGCATAAGTAATTAATACATATGTCAAGGGACCATTCAGGGTAAAGTGGCCCATTAACACCCCTCCAATCATAAGGGGAAAAAGGAGGGAAGAAAGGGAGGTGGGGGGTGTTAGTGGCTTACAGATTATTGAAATAAGACATAAATCCAGTGCATCTATTTAGTCCATGATTTTTAGTGTCTAGCAAAGTTATGAATTTAAGCTCCCTGGCTTGTCGTTTGAAAGTGTCGTGCAAGTTTCCTTTGAGGATGAGGACTGATAAGTCGGATATAATCACTTAGTGATCATGGTCACAACAACGCTGCATGAGATACCACCACCAACCTCTTACATAGCACTTTTCATCAGTAGATCTCAAGGATAGAAACATTATTCCCATTGTATACATGGGGAAACAGAGGCAGAGAGAGGTGAAATGACTTAGCCAAAGTCACCCAGTAGGCGAGTCAAAAAGTCAGGACTAGGGCCCAGGTATTCTGAGTCTCAGTCTACTGTTCACTACACCAGTCCACATAGCTGCTTTGTGATTCCTAAGCATCACCACTCCAGCCCCACACACTTTCTTATAGTGGAATGGGGATAATGGTCATGCTTTGTAATGTTTGGATTATGTAGCTGCTAATAAGACTAGTGAGAGAAACCTCAGATATGGTCTATGTCCCAAGAACTTGACAGTTTTATTACACAGTGGGTAAAAAAATTTCACACAGACAAAAACTTCAAAAACAGACTCCAACGTGAAGCTGCAGAACTGGAATTAATTTGCAAACTGGATACCATCAGATTAGGCCTGAATAAAGACTGGGAGTGGTTAGGTAATTACAAAACCTAATTTCCCCAATACTAATTTCTCCCTACTGTTACTCACACCTTCTCGTCAACTGTCTGTAATGGGCCACTCTCATATCACTTCAAAAGTTATTTTTCCTCCCTTGGTATCCTGCTGTTAATTGATTTATCTCGTTAGACTGACCTCACACTTGGTAAAGCAACCCCCATCCTTTCATGTATTTATACCTGCTCCTGTATTTTTCACTTCATGCATCTGATGAAGTGAGTTCTAGTCCACGAAAGTTTATGCCCAAATAAATTTGTTAGTCTCTAAATCTCACAAGGACTCCTCGTTGTTTTTACAGTGGGTACAGTAACTAAGTACACCTCTACCCCGATATTACGCGACCTGATATAACACGAATTCGGATATAACATGGTAAAGCAGCGCTCCGGCGGATCAAAGCAAGTTCAATATAACGCTGTTTCACTTACAACGCGGTAAGATTTTTTGGCTCCCGAGGACAGCGTTATATCGGGGTAGAGGTGTATGTGAAAGAAGATTAGGATATGTCTGTCTCTTCCCTCGTAATATATACAGGCCCACCCCATCACTGCCAGCTCACCTTCCCCTTCCCATCCCATATAGCAGGGGTTCTCAAACTGGGGATCGGGACCCCTCAGAGCGTCGCGAGGTTATTACATGGGGGGTCGTGAGCGGTCAGCCTCCACCCCAAACCCCGCTTTGCCTCCAGCATATATAATGGTGTTAAATATATAAAAAAGTATTTTTAATTTATATGGGGGGGTCGCACTCAGAGGCCTGCTATGTGAAAGGGGTCACCAGGACAAAAGTTTGAGAATCACTGACATATAGCCACTAGCACTTTAGAAGCCAGGGGTGTACAAAAAAAGCATTAGTAGAATCTGTAAACTTCAAGAAAAGTGTTTTTTTAGGTTTTTTTGGAGGTTTTCCTGTATCTCAGGAACCTCTTGCGCAAATGACTCCATATTTGGATCACTAAACCTATCCCGCTCCCCCAACGAGGAATATCAAATTTCAAGACAACCTGTACCCTTATACAGATTTTAGAGCACTAAGAAGAATCCTCCTTTAAACAGAAAAAACTTCCTAATCTTAACATAGTAGACCTGGTGCT